TGAAATTCTCAAATATTTCTTAATGTTATTCATTGTTGATATTTTTAAAGCATTGCGTCTGCCACCTGTTCTAAGAATGAATGCGTCACTAATTACCACATCCCTTTCCACGTGGAATATTTTAAAAATTGAATGTTTGAAGTAACGGAAACGGGAATAAAATAACAACAGTAACAGCTACAAATGACCGATAGGTTAATTTCAACGTTCGAACCGCTGACAAGGCGTCGAGGATGTGTGTAATACCGGAGAGTGATACGGTCGACCGATTAATTTCTAACATAAACAGAACGGCATCCCCCCGATAGTAAGCATACCTTCGCGTGCGCGAGGCGTGCGCAAGTTTCATTGACTCTCGAGTTATTGAACGTGTTCCATCCAACTACAAGCTGTCCGTTGCATTACGATTGCGTCCGCGAGCACAAGTACAAAGGTCAACGAAACACGCCTTGAGATCTTAGCCAGATCCGCGAATAATATTGTAATAAGGAAGAAAAATAGCATTGCCCGTCCTTCGATGATTTTGGAGGATAGTTGACTTGTTTTGACGGACGAAAATCGTATATTCTACTCTCGTTCCATTTTGTCCTGTGCCTAACCGGTGGCGAACCTTACGAAACGTAAAGCGAGTTTCACAACTTCAGCAATCGAGCAAGAAATATCACTAGCGCAAGAAATTACTTTTACTCGGTACTGATGACTCTCTGTCCACAGAGATCACGTGGCCGTGGGAACACGTGACAGCATCCGAGTTATTAGCAATTAGCACCGCAATAGATGCAGCAGATACAATCTACGACGTTTCTTTTTTAATCGTCTGGAAAGATGTATTTCGTACACAGAGAAGACTGTAATCCTTTTATTTAGGTTCAGAATACAACAGATGTTTGTGCACACGTTTAATAAATAAATCATAATGGAGGTGATCGTTAAATTCAATCTCTAGTTAGAAGTACCAAATTTAATCGCAACAATCGTGCTCAGAATACTACACAGGTCGATTAGTCAGCGTGGTTAACGATTGTCAAAAGGTCGAAGCTGGTTACGTCCAAGGTGAATCGAAATCGATTCACGCCAGCCACGCAATCGTCTAATTTCGCGATACTGTTGTTTAAAGCATCGCGCTTCCTGTTTCTTTATTACGTAAAAGAAAAAAACAAATTACGATAAGCAAAGCATTCCGTTCGTCGGACGGTTTCATAATTTTTTTCCTCCACGCGATACACTCGTTTAACCGTACGCCACGAGAGTGAAGCATACGTCCCTACGAATATTCCCGCCAGCAGGAACATTTCCTTCGTGACCGCGTTACGAGAGGAGAAAAAGAGACAGAGGTAGAAGGGGAGAGAGCTTTCAAATGCACGATTATTTCCGCACGGCAGAGCCGCGCGCTGCTCTCTGTCAACCTGCGTGTTTCGTTCGCCCGCAATACGGACACGGAACAGACAGAGAGACGGTACGCGAGAGAGAGCAATAAAAAAGAGAAAGGTATGATAATTACCAAGGAGTCGTCCCCATTGTCAGCGCTCATAGCCCACCGCTAGCGCGAGGGAATTCGAGATCGTCGTCGTGGTCGTCGTCCTCGGTCCTCTTCGCCGCCCTTCCGATAGAACAACCTTGCGCTCGTCATTCTGCAGCGTATCCTAAATCCGCAGGACACACGAACCACTCGTTAGCGGACACCAGTGGCTGCGCCTCGCACCTGTCATCTGGCATTGCAGCAACGACGCGGCTTATAGTACAATGGGTTAACGTATAGAAGGGACGAGATAGAGCGAGGACGGCGCCGAGAAAGGGCGAGCGCGGGAAAGAGATAGAAACAGAGAGAGAGGACACTGACACACGAAACGTCAACGACACTAGCACGCCGTCGTATTGGCCGTTCTCACGAAAGCGTCGCGAACTTTTGAATTACGCCACGAACACGCGTACCGCACTACACGCTACTCGAACGCGATCAGACGCGTTTTTTCTCTTGTTTCATCGGCCGATCAGGAAAGAAGATGGGCCGAATAATTGAGTTTACCGCACCAACCGGACTAACCTCCTCACGGACTCACGGGCAGGCGCTAACTTCCAGCAGCACTCGACTCGAGACAACTTGCTAATGCTTTCCCTTCCATCGCGTCGCTTCCCCCACTACACAAGCCGTTATGAACCGCGGGTAGAAACAAAACGTTTGCAGTGGAATTACCTTGGCGTACGAAACGTCACTTATGTTATCGTTCCGCGCGAATCGAAGGTCGATCGTTTGTACCAGTCGCGATTTAAAGTGTAATTTAGAATACGAAAAACATCGTGATTAAACGGGACCGCTACGGACACGGGGTTCCCGCTACGGACGCCATGTTGCTGTTTGATATGCGCGCGCATCCGTACTGAAAGGCAGGAAATTTGAATTACAATTTGGCGGGACATTTAAATTGCCGCTATAAAAAATTATAGATATAAGTTCACGCAGAGCTTTCTATATAGTGCTACTGACCTGTGTTATTTTGCAACGTTTACTGCTTCGATCGTGCAGATACTAATAAATGCTGGTTAATATCCTGCAATTAGATATTATCGCAATATTAAATAAGGACAAATACACTGTGACAAATATGGGGAAAATATTTTTACGCAACGGTACTTCCGATACCGGATACATACAATTACAACTAAAGTGATTAATATGACGGGATCGTATCACGGATCAAGATATAATACACAGAAAGGGATCACATTGAGAATGAATTTTTTTTCGTGAACTAGTTTCAACATAATAAACGACGTGATAAATGAAGGATCTCAAGGTGTGGTATAATGAACGAGAATGCACGAAATAATAATAATAATGTGAAAAAGACGCACACATAATGAGACAACACATTACACGACAGACAAGAGACTTTTTCACAACATTTAATAAAACGCTATCAACTATGTATGCCTTTTTTTTACTCAAATACTCTAAAAGTTACTTACATACGTGTAGTTTATATGTATATTTATGTCATACGGAGGTGTCACATCCCTCGCAACATATCAACACTTTTAAAATCTACGCTCCATCCGTTTCTTCTATTTTCGAAAGTGTGATTTTTCGTTATCATTGTACACTGACAACAAACGTAACGATTTTAGGCACCAATCAGCGACGATGAACACAGTGTAAAACACGGAAATAGAAGACTGTCAAATTGTGCTCGGGAGCTGACACGTCCAATAAGTATGTATAAATTTAATACTATTTTTCCTTATGTGTTAATATTTCAATTAATCGTGGGTATAGCGATCAACGTCCCGGGATGCTAAAGAGGTCTGTGTCTGAAAATCTACAAGGTGATTAACAATGGGTGTGCAAAACGAACGTCCGAGCAAGGCATATCTCGCCGTCAGACTTTTTTGTTCATCATTGTACGGTTTATCAAAAAATGAAAAAGTTTCACGCGGGTTTGTTTTCTTGTTTTTTTTCTTTCTCTGTTTTGGTTCACGTTAATGTTTACCTTGAAATTGCGACTGAAGAACAGTGGCCGTTCAGATACGAGGACTCTTAATGTTCAAATAAACTTATATTTGCATCGAAGACTTTTTCTCGTTTACATTTATACAATGTGCGTGGTATTATTGTTAATGGATCCTGCAATTTCAAGGTGCCTTGTAAAAGAATGGAAAAAAAATATACGAGGACTTAACATTATGTTCTGTAGACAGCGTGCGCTTGGTATGCCAGCCAACCATGATTTCTCTCTAACATTTGTCTTTTTTCTTTGTTTCTTGGAAACGTGTGTACCCTGCGACGCGTGTGCATACATTGTGTGTCCCATACAACACGAGGAAATACCTATTCTTCATCGTCTGTTTTACCATCGGCTGTTAATTGAAAAACCATTCAAACTCGATCACCTACTAACTGGCATAAAAAAGTCCCATAACTTATTTTCCTTAACCTACGGTCCTGGCAAACTGCACTTTTTTTTCTCATACGCACAAGTATCACAATCGCTCACATTTTCGTGGTTGTGTTTGTTTTGTGTGTACACGCGTATGCCTTTTCTTTCCCCTTCGATCAGCAAAGCCATAGTTTCTCGCTGTCGCAATAAATCACGAAGTTTCTCGCAATCGCCGCTGTCGCATGGTTCCGAAAACTTGATTTTTTATTTTCGTTTCTTTTTTTTTACTTTTTTTTTTTAAAAAGACGCGTCACCCGCGATCCTACGATTAAAGTATTAAAGTTAAGTTATTATAAACTGCAATCTAAGCTGATCCCATATGTTGTTCCTTGGTCACAACCTCGTTGAATTGTTTTCTGTAACTCCGTTACAGAATCCTTGCCATTTCTTCAAGGAGATTTTCGACGAAGACCTTTCCTCCGAAAATCCTACACCGAATTGACGGCCCCGGATTCTCTTCGCGTTTTTTTATTTTATTTTTTTTTTATTTTTTTTTTCGAAAACTTTTTCCTCCCTTGAGAACATTGTCTTATCCGTTGTATCGAGTACGCATAATCGATAATCTTATTATAAAGGGACAAAAACAATGTCTCAATTTTCCATCCCGGGCGGACGCACACGTAGCCGCGTAATTTTTTCTAACGACATCCACGGGACCCGTCGTAGTTAACCGCCAGTGATTCTCGAGGAGAACCATTGTTCTATTCGAAAACCACATAAACAATTTACTCAGATTTATCTAACGCATAGAAAGTGAACCAGTCAATATTCCCGGCACCCTCTCATTGGGATACATCCCCTTTATTATTATTATTCTTTTTTTTTTTTTTTCATTTTCTTTTCAATAACTCCCTATTATTTTAAGAATTTTATTTGAAACGC